TGCTACATATATAGGAACTAATTATATTAGTTTCTCTGCTTTTGTATTTGTTTGAGAATTTTCATTATAAATATGTTCTAAAAAATGAGTTCTAAGAACCTGTTATGGCAATCAGAAAACAAGAACTGACTGTCTTTGTATTCTGCATTCTTTTAGGTATTTTCTTCCTTTCCTGAAATAATGTGTAGTTCTGACCAAGTGAGAAGAATCATAAAGTAGAATCAGATTCTTGAAAGGAGGAAATCTTGTTACTATCTCAAATTTTCATCCTGTTGCACAAACCAACTACCCAATCCAGGGTTTGCATATGGATACATTTAATGAATAAAAATACGAATCACTGATATTTTCTTAATATCTTTTAGTTATTTATTCACCATGTTAGAGGTGCTAGTGATGTGAAAAGTTAGGAACTGCTAAAATATTTTATAAGCTGGAGGAAGTTTTTTTTTTTTTTTAAATCAACCGGTTTATTTTAAGTCAACAGATTTGGGGTTAAGGGTGGATTTATTAATCTGTTCTTACACTGCTATAAAGAACTACCTGAGACTGGGTAATTTATGAAAAAAAGAGGTTTAATTGACTTACAGTTCCGTAGGCTATACAGGAAGCATGGCTGGGAGGCTTCAGGAAACTTATAATCATGGTGGAAGGTGAAGAGGAAGGAAGTACATGTTCACATGGTGACAGGATCTAGAGAGAGGGAGAAGAGGGAAGTGCTATACACTTTTAAACAACCAGGTCTCATGAGAACTCACTCACTATCATGAGAAGAGTGAGGGGGAAGTCCACCCCCATGATTCAATCACCTCCCATCAGGCCCCACGTTCAACGCATGGGAATTACAATTCAAGATGAGATTTGCGTGGGCACACAAAGCCAAACCATACTAGTTAGGTAAAGATTTCACTATATGAGGTATTCTGTACAGTTTAGCTAATGGAAAATGTTTACCAAATTATCTCCTCCATTGCTAAGAGTTTGTGGTAGTTGATCTAACTATACTCTGGAAAATATAAACAGACCCTGTAAGAGAATGAAGGTTGAGAGCGTGAAGCATAGAATCAAAATAAAGTATTAGCCATGTTCAGGCTGATGTTGAAAATGGCAAAGGCAGCTAATGTGCGGAATATAGAAGATTCAGCAGTGTGGCTGATTTCTGCCTGATTTGTCCCTTCATGGGAGAAATTTTATTCATGAAACATTTATTGAGTACCTATGCAGGGCGAGGCACTAAACATGAGAAATCAAATGATACATAGACCCCAACTTGAAGCTCAGTATTGTAGGAAGCTGGGGGTACGGCTTGGACTACCTCAGATTTTTATTCTCTCCTACCCTCACTCTTGTAGCATATATTCATAGCTATTAAGATCGGGGTAAAAAAAAATCCTGTAAAACTTTATTTATATTTAGTATGAACCATTTAGATACACATAGATTTAGTCTCCTTAATGACAAAGAATAGTGATGATGAACCACTATGGGATAAAATAATTAAGTGCATTACTTATCTTTGATAACTTTGAAATTCAGAGCTAGGTGTGGGGAAGAAGGTGTTTCCTTCTTAATTCATTTATTCTGCTACTCATTTCTTCTTTTCTTTACCCCTGCCTACCTGCTAGAGTCACAGTGAGAATTATTTTAATTTCTAAAAGGCACTTCTGTAGGAGAGAAAAAATAGTTACAGTGGAAATAAATGTTGGAACCGGCAGAGTGCCCTCTCTGAAGGACACTGAAGTAGCTAATAGTTCCCCTAAGAGATTACCAGTGGAGTGGTCCTACATGAAAGAAAGGTGGCATGAAAGATCATTACTTCAGTTATTATTAATGGATTGCTATTCCCACAAAGATCATCTGGGGAATGGTTCTGATTGGTTGGCTGGTACCATCAAAGGTAGTTTGTTTAGCTGTGTGACTAATGCCACTGTTTTCAAGGTCTGTTCATGGTACTTCAATTAGATGGAGGCTGTGGTAGTTAGAGAAGGCTTCTTGAACTCTTTGCTGAGTTTCAGGAAAGGAAAACTTTTCCATTAACTGTGAAGTTAAAAGAAAAATCCTATAATGTATTTCTTAACCAGATTAGAAACCAGAACCCTGGTAGGCTTTTGTTTAGCTATTTTGCTGAGAGTGTTCTGCTAAGGCCATGCAAAGAATGAATAATTCACATTGAAAACCTTAGCATTTTGCTTAAAAGCCTTATTTTCATTTTTGGAAAAAGTGACAGCAAGAATTAGTACCAGCACTTCTGTTTCAATAATGGTGGTGATGTTTAAATGACAACAAATACATAATTGGACTTACATGCACATTTATGGACACAAAAATGTCATTACCTATTTTGGTGGAACATTTTACACTTACTCTATATACAAGAAAAATCAGCTTAAGTTGTTTTTATCTATAAGTGATGAATCAATGTGAGAAACCCTTGTGGCATTCATACTTTGAGAAAAATACACACTTTTTTCATTCCCTGATTTTGAAAGGATGATATTGTTTGTTTTAAATAAGACCTTTAATGAGCCCTCCTAGAATAAATGGCAACTCATTTTCATAACATTCCTAACGGTCTTTTGAAGATCAATACTTCGACTCCTCCCTAAATTAGAGGATAGAGACAAACTCTTGCATAATAATTCTTTGCTCAGTTGATTGAGCTGAAATTTTGTGAATATTACAGGGTATAAGATTCAATATTTTATGATGAGAACTGGGAAAAGGAATTAGGAAATTTAATGTTGTAGGAATAATGGAGGCACCGGCTGATACTATCTTGGGTACTGTTTTACCCATGGAAAGCAAAGGACAGATAAAAATAATATAAAACAATGAAGTGAAAAGAACTACTCTTCTCTCAACTACTGCATAGATTTCCATTTTTAAAGCAAGAATAAATTTAGTTATAAATGGTTATGGGCTCAAAGACTTGCTGTGAAATTCTGGTTTACTCAACCCTAATGATAGGACTGAGTCTTTCCATGCCACCTCTGTTTCTGAGATGGATAAGCATTACAAATACTCCTATCACTTTTGATCTGCCAGTCTCCTGGCATTATTGTGTATATTCTATTTGCTAACTTGAATTAAATTTCTTTTAAAAATATGGTGACTTAAAAGGATGTTTTCCCAGATGTTGGATAAAGGTAATAGGTATTGCTAACCTTAGAGGTTATACATGCATGATATTTCAGAGTGACCATTAAACACTGCTGTTTCTCCTAGAGACAATTTTAGTTCATCTATTCGTTGGGACGTATGATTAAACTCTGTAAGTAAAACATATAAAATGACTAGCAATAGAAATGCTAAGGTGAACTATCCTGTCTTTAGCATCTGTATAGAATGAATCCATTTTTTTTCCCTCTTGCAGTGGCTCAGTAAGAATGTGGTGGCTGCTGCCATTTGTTACACATATTTCTCTGTTTCTTTTTCAGCCTCAGGTTATTCTCCATCCTCATTTTTTGACCAGGTTGCTCCATAACTCACAAGCCCTCAGTGGTTCCCACAACTCACATTTCTCCAAAAGCTGGTTCAGTACAATTTGTGATAATCTTGGGTTTTGACCATGAATGCGAGCTGTCTCAAGTGGAGTCTACAGTAGACCACTGGCATTTTTTGTCTCTGATATTCTGGCTTACCACTCCTCTCCAAGTGTACCCCTACTTGGTCATTTAGTGCCTGCCTGTACTAAATGTATTTCTTTCTTTCTTTTTTCTTTTTTAAATCAAATCTAACCAGAAGAAAGAAAATGTTAAACTCACATTATTGTCTAAATCAAATATATTGTTTCAAGGGTTGTATCTCTCAGCCACATCTACATATACTAGCTGACATAAGTTTTAGATAAAATTATTCTTTTGGGTAGAATTTTAGATCTCAAAAAGCATAGTGGAAAAGTTTCTCAGGTGAGGGAATGAAGGTGCAATGAGTCAAGGGGTCTTGTCTAGCATCTTGGAAAATACTCTCAGTCTCTTACTTTGCTTACTTATAAGATTAGTTCTGGTGAAGCCTAACTCCGCTTCTCCAAACCATCTCTCTCTCTCCACCTTTATAGTGAAGATCAGGGAAACCTCCACTAAGAAGCTTTTCTTGATTAGTCTCACTATGCTTGAGCCAGCCTGTTTAAATTCTGGCCTACTGTTATCAGGCTGTTTAAGACCTCTGAGGGACTGGGCACTCCCACTTTTATAGGCCCTACCCCACATCATATCACATCAAAATGCACCAATATTCCATATTAATTATATATAGATTTTTTACTGTAAAAATAATTTGAAAGAATTTTTATCCTTTTATATCCAAAATTATTTGGTTATGTGTAACTCACTTAAGATTGATTATAATTTCTTGGTAATTATTTTGCATCCTCAGAAATTTTTGTGATGTGAAAATACACCTTACATTTTTTAATGTAATGAATTTTTATGAATATTAAATTTCAGAGGTAATAAGATATGAATGGAGCAGTTTATAGAAATTTAATTAAATACATTCATTTATTTTAAAAGTTTTTTTTTCTATTTTGTACTGATTTTCTTTTCAGATTTCAAACATAAATTCATGGAAAGCTCATAGACATGTATTTTAGTGACGTCTATGTACCAGGCATTGTTCTGGCTGCTAGAATTAGAGTTGAAAAGACAAAGTGCCTGCCTTAAAGAGTGCAAGACATGAGGATATTTGAGTAAATAATGCCAAAGCACTGTGATAAATATGCTAATAAAAATAGAATTAGGAGTACACAGGTGTCTGTGACCAACCAAGTCCTCAGAAGAGATGACTTTTGAACATAGAGATGACTGACTTCAGTCACTGCTAGATTGAAGAGTCTTTAGATCATGATATTTCAAGGAGGATTGTCTCATGGATTATTTTCACATTCTATTTCTTAACTAACACAATTTTGGGTTCTTGAGTTCTTACTATAGAAATCTGAAACATTTACCACAATGAGTCTGACATAATTTCCAACTCATGAGGCCACCCTTTGTTTTCAGGTGCCTCCCCTTCTATTACGGTGATAGAATATGAAGAGCAGAATGATTCAGTTGCATGTGATCTTCACAGAGAGCCTTCGAGGTCAGAGTTATCATAATCCTGTTTTATAGGTGAGGAAATAAAAACTAAAAGATGGTAAGTCGTTTGCCTAAAATTAGGCGGTTAGTCAAGTGGCAGAGCTGGGATTCAGTTGCCCATCTGTTTGGCCTCACAGGCTGTAAACCTCACCACTCTATAGATTGGGACACTGAATAGCACTTTGCCAAATGCATTCCTGTGGCTCTAGGTAACGGTATGTGTTCATTTTCTCATTAATTTTCTTTTCTGATGATGAAGTATAAAAGGAGGGGGGAAAAACCCAACCTTCTCTATGCCCAAGAAAAGGTAAAAACTTATATCAGGAAAAGGTAACTCAGAAAAGGAAAAATATTGAGCATAAAATCATCCCCCCAATACTTCCAGCCTTTCCCTTAGCTTCTTTCATAAGGTGATAAGCATTTCCATCCCCACTCCACATTTTTGCCTACCTTAGCAAAAAATATTTTGCTTTATCCATAATTTTTGATGAGGGAAGATTCATCAGAATAAAAAGAACTATAGTATTTAATATATGTGAATGAATTTTAGAATGGTAGTTAAACAGAACAATAGAAGTATTCATATTATAATAACCATTTCTAATGATCCAATTCTAAGATTTTGTTAGAAGTTGATAGTAGAACTCACACAAACACTGAGTGAAAGGTACTAATAGCAAAAATTCTTCAGAGCCATGAAGATTAGTCTTTGCTGTAAGTTAGGATAATAGTCTGTTAGAAGAATTCTGACTTTAGTATTGTGTAAGCTGTTTTCTTAATACATATCTACCCTCTGCCTAGGTGATAGTCACGAAATAAGGCATAGATAATGCATTTAGTAACACTGAGCTGAATAATGCAAAACATAATTTGTGTGCAATTTCAGGAGTATAAAATAAAAGTTGTTTTAAATATCATAAAAAGCAACCATAAAAATAAAGCATTCTAATCAGAGGGAAGAAATTCAAAAGCTTGTGTCAAAAAGGAAAACAATTTACTTGTGCTGGTACCCTTAATAAGTGCCCCAAAGCGTTCCAGTGCTGTTACATTCTCTAATGATATTACTGTATGTGGCACATCTAATCTAATCTGTTAGTAAAATCCTAAAGTCACTTATGTCAGTCTCTAATGCAAGCCAAATGAGTCTTTCCAGTAATAAGAAGCTTCGCAGAATTAGTTTTCGTTTTGCAGAAAATTGCCATTGGGGCTGGCACTTTTATCTAAAAATTTCACTCGTGCATAAGCAAAAAACTCATATATTATTTGGTTACATTCCATCAGTATGAGAAATAACATTGTGAGAATTCTATGCATGCTAATGATATATAGAAATCCACCTGCTTTCAGATAAAATGAGTTTAATTTTCTGTTGCCCACTGCCTGGTTGGCCTTTCATAAATTACTTATGCACAGCTATTATTAAAATAGAGGGAAAGCAAATTAGAAAGTCCTCCTATCTCTCCACTGGATTTAGCCAAGGCAGGGCTGTGACAGCTAGAGTCAGCGTTTTTGAAAAAATTCTGCTCTCTTGAAAAATTTTGCATCTCTATACAATTCTATACCACTGTTGTAAACGTTCTGACCTGCCTTCTTACCAAATTAACCTAAATCCTTTCTATTTTTCAACATTAATGGAATCCTCTAGAGTCCTGCTGATATATATTAAAATATATTTATTGGTTAATTTGAATTCCAGCATTTTGTACCTCATTTCCAGACTCCTGTTATATCTGAACAGCCTTGAGCTTTAGCATTTAAAACTTATAAATTAAGATACATATAGTACCTCTTAAAATTATCAGATCACAACAACTTAACTTTTATTGGAGTATAGAATGGCAAATTTAACTTTCTGATAAAATAGAAAATGAAGGTTGTCTGCATGAAAGAGTTAATGGGATTTCAAAGGGTGTTTTCTAGCTGATGGTGATGAGAGTCTTTATTGGTCAATGAATACTTTATCTCTTGATTTAAGGACAGGTGAAAAGTTTTTATTTCCAGAGGGTTTTGGAAATCACTTAAGATTCTCAATTAAGTGGAATTCTCAATCACTTAAAATTAATTCCTGTTAATTATTTCACTTTGTTCAACTATGATCAAAAGTTTCTTAGGATGTATCAGGTGACTATGTCTTCGAAGGCTGAATAAATATCATTGAAGAAGCTCTCCACTTTCAGTGCCATGGTGTTAAAAAAGCTTTCAAAATACTATGTTGAAAATAAATCCTAATTATAATTCTGACTGAAAAAGATAATGATAGCTTCCAAAACATTTCATAAAATTTCAATATAAAGAGGTCACTTGTTAAGACAATTGCATCCTGTGCCAGGGAGGATACCTACAGTACTCAAAGAGCATTTTAAACTAATTCCAAAAAATAAACTAAGCTTATTTTCTGTTAAGGTTCTTCTTCAAAGTGTTCTGATATAAGCTTTGTCCGTAACTAAATGGAGTTTTAAAAAGAGCAACTTGATAGTATAAGTTATTGATATGAATAAAATTACAAATGAGTATTTGTGGTGTATGTGTGGGTAAGAGTGGATGGGTCTTGGGAAAGCATAGTGGGATGGGGAAGGGAGATACATACCTCTTTTTCTCATCTCTGCTCTGAATCCAAACTAGCAATTTCCCTTTATTTTTGGGGAGAAATCTTTCAAACAAAGGTAACAAATGTGCTTACAGTGTTTTAAAACTGACACTCAAAAATAATATCAAGCAAGTAAAACCTAACAACACAACTCAAAAGGCATATAAATGATTCTGAAAATGATGCTTCTATAAGATGGAGTAAAATATCATTTTCAGATCTATCCATAGCCGTTTTCAAATACTGTCATCTCTCCTTCTGGTAAAGTTTAATGACAAAATGTTTGTTCCTTAACAACACCGAATGAAAAATACTGTTTATGTGTCCATCATTATAAATTCTAAAATTTTCAGTGTGTAATTATATAGTCTTAGGATGCTTTTAAATCTCTTCTGAAATTTGCAAGTTGAAATTCACCAGCAATTGAGCTTTGTAAAATGTTCCCAAAGGCAGACTACAGAGTTTGAGCTCAGTCAGCTGTTTGGACCATGATATGTTAATCCTCTGTTTATAAGATACTTAACTAACTGAAACTTCCTAAATGTATTGTTTTGACCTTGGCAATGGTGATTTGAGCCATTAAGAAATCCCATGGAAGACGAATAATCAAAGTGTCATTATTCCCCAGAAGTCTGCATATAGTCTAGCTCTTGCATGTAGAGTGAGACATCCATTCCTTGAGCTAATTTAAGGTATCAGTGTGATTGACATTGTGTATTCACAACTTCCTATACGTTCTAAGAATTCTGGAATAGGAAGAAACAAATCTAAACTAAAACTAGAAAATAAATCAAATTATCAGGATACTTCAGGCAAAAAGACAAAATAAAGTTTTGCAAATAAATTAATCACATGCTATTCCTGAAAAACTTTAGTTTGATTTTTTTTTTTTTTTGTTTTGTTTTTTTTTTTTTTTTGAGATGGAGTCTCACTCTGTTGCTCAGGCTGGAGTGCAGTGGCGCGATCTCGGCTCACTGAAAGCTCTGCCTCCCGGGTTCACGCCATTCTCCTGCCTCAGCCTCCCGAGTTGCTGGGACTACAGGCACCCGCCACCACGCCCGGCTAACTTTTTGTATTTTTAGTAAAGACGGGGTTTCACCGTGTTAGCCCGGGTGGTCTCGATTTGCTGACCTTGTGATCCGCCAGCCTCAAACTCCCAAAGTACTGGGATTACAGGCGTGCGCAACCGCGCCCGTCCTCAGATGGTTTACTTTTAATTAATTCCTCATTTTATTGATGAATTGTGTCTTTGTGAATTGCTTCAGAGGCAGCACGCATGTATTTGTAATAAGTTATAAACTCTTGAATCTAACAGACCTAGATTCGAAATTTGGCAATGGCATTACCTAGCTACTCTATGTTGGCTAGATATGTAACTTCACTTGAGCATCAATTTATTCATTTAGAAAGATGAGATGACAATACTCATAGTTTGTTGGGAAGAATGAGTAAAACATGCATAAAAATAATTGACTTATTAATATATAGGTACTTAATAAACATTAGGTGCACTTAATCAACATTAGGTGCACTTAATCAACTGAAGGTATGTAAGACTACTTTTTTGTGTGTGCACATATTTTTTCTAAAATTGTTGGTATGATTTCCACATATAACTGTTTAGTCAACTAGAGGGATGTAAAACCATTTTTTGTTGTTGTACTTTAGATCTTATGTGTTTTTTAGTATATTGGCATGATCTCCATATGTAATTCTTCAATATGTACATCCATGAGTAATGTAGAGATGGGCTTGTTTCTCAAAAGAGAACTGAGACTTTGAACATATGACACATTTTAATACCTTCTAAACAAAAAAAAATCTTGACATGTTCAATGCAGAGTATTTAAGAAATATAGAACAACATATATTAAAACATTTAAATCTTTCTTTTCGTATTTCAAAGGCATTTAAATGTGCTGTTTTCTCAGCTTTTTTTCTATTCAGATATTCAAAGTTGATGTCATATTGTATTTTCTACGATTTAATATATATTTCACTATAATAGTGCTTCACCATGACTTAACTATTTTAAAATACTATTTATATTTTATTGTATTTAAATTATTATACTGCTATTTTACATAATATTTTTATTATTGAAGCATAATTTTTAATGGCTGCAAAATAGCCAATTGAGTGACCTTACAATAATTTATCAAACCATTTACTATTTTTAGATGCTTAGGTTGTTTTTAATTTAAGGCTACTATATAGATTAATTAATGAAAGTTTTTATCTGTATTTCTTCTTATCTTCTTAGATTAGATAGTGGTCAACAAATACAAATATTTTTAAAGGTATTTATGATTCAATGACAAACTCTAGAAGAGTTGTAGCACTGTATACTCTCACAAGCAAACTGTGAGAATATTCTTCTCAAATCCTTCTTTTGTAACTTGAGCACATTATTTCTCAAAACTTTTGTAAATTTAATCATTGAACATTTTAATTTCTACCAAAAGTGTATGAGTACCAGCGTCATGTAAGCCTCAT